GTTCATGTTTGTGACTGGATGAATGTGGCTCCACTGTTAAAGTTCAGTGTCGCCACCTGCTGGCACATGGTAGGAATCACATACTGATTCTGATCTGTTGAAGTAGCAGATCAGATTCACCGACAGAAATGAAACCGAGCGACTCTCAGGAAACTCAACAGCCTGCTGGTCCAGAGGGCAAAGGTCATCAGTGCAGTTTTTATTGCAGCTCTAATCAGACAGAAACCAGGCAGAGGAAAGATACGGATCCAAAGGTCAGGAATACGGACTGGTTCTGTTCACCAGCAGGGAGAACCTGAGGAGAACCCAGAGAACATAAATATTTAACATAAAGAACTCGACTCAGCTTTTAATTTATTAAACTTTTATAAATATAGCAAACATGTTGAGCGTCGGTGGACTGATGTTCTAATAAATGTGTTCAAAAAGATTTGAAAACTATCATGAAACTCTGAATACAGAAAACATGCAAAAACATTTCTACATTTTGAATCTATGATGAAAATAATCACTAAAAATAATAATAACAAAAAAGCAAAGTTCATTTGGACGAATATTTGCTTGATTTTTGTGGTTTTATTTTCTCGGCCTGTGAATCTGATGGATGTTTTCTGTAAGTTTGGACCGATCTGAACTAGAACCAGCTGGAGGAAATCCAGAGGTCAGACCCAGAATGACCTCTGATGTTTCCACCAGCAGACAGCAGAGAGGACGAGGCAAAGGCTCCTGGTCTGGAGGAGGAAGAAGAGGGCGAGGAAGAGGAGCAGAAGGAGGAAGAGGAAGAACAGGAGGTTATCAGGGCGACCATCAGGGCGACCATCAGCCCAACCGAGGCGGGTCGAGCCCCAGAGGGCAGAACAGGCATGGAGAGCCGGGAGGGTGAGTCCCAGTTCAGTTCAGACCAGATTTGACGTGAAACTAAAAGCTGAGAGTTTTGTTCTGGTTTCAGGTCTGGCAGGTTGGAGCAGGTCACACCTGCAGGTCTGAAGGTGGCGCTCTGCAGAGGAAACATTCAGGACCAGCAGGTCAGCCGTTCAGGAACATCTGCAAATTCATCATGAAGCAATTATTGATGTGAAACAAACTCATTGTTCCTGCTGAAACACCTCCCATTTAAAGTTCCTTTAAAGTTCATTTTGTCTCATTTCAAGTGTACTGAGATATAAGATGTTAAACTTAGTGAGTTTATTTACATCTTCATAAATATTTAACATAAAGTATCAGAAACAGGGAGGAGGAAATACTAATTATGCTGCGAAAGTTTAAAACAGAGAAAAATGTTTCAGAACATAAATGATAGAAATTTGATCTCAGTTTTACTTCCCACCAGTTTCACAGCGCCCCCTGCAGCTCAGACTAGAGTTTCTCATGAAATTTCTGTTCATCACATTTAAAATGCAGAAGCTCAATCTTTTTTCTCATCTCGTTCTAAAGTTGAACTGAAGGTTGCTGGTTTGATTCCTGCACAAAACATTCAGTTTTCAGCCTTTTTACTGATTTTATTATTTAAAGCGTTTTGTTGTCAGTTTGTGCCGCACTGTTCAGTGTTTTCAGTGGAAGTCGTGATGCTCAGCTGATGTTCTGATCTCGGTCCGCAGACGGACGCCATCGTGAACACGGTGGCAGAGAACATGAACCTGAGCCAGGGCGCCGTGTCGGCAGCCATCTTGGAGGCGGCGGGTCAGAAGCTGCAGCTGGCCATCCTGACGGAGGCCGGCGTGTCGGCGCTGCAGTCCGGAGACGTGGTCGTCACTGACGCTTACAACCTGATGTGTCAGAAGGTCTTCCATGCCGTTTGCCCAAACTGGGACAACGGCGGCGGAGAGGCGGAGAAGGTCAGAGGTCATTCGGGTCGTTTTATGTCCAGGCCTCCAGAGACACAGCAGATTAAGTCTGCAGAGCATCAGGTCTTTCTGTCTCCTTATGGAAGCTAATTCATCTCTGACTGTCTGTCGGTTCTGATCAGGCGTTAGCAGACGTCATCACTTCCTGTCTGAAGGAGGCTGAGAAGCTTCGGCTGACCTCTCTGTCCTTCCCGGCCATCGGAACCGGGAACCTGAGCTTCCCCAGGCCGGTGGTGGCCCGAGTCCTGCTGAGGCAGATCCACCTGTTCAGCTTCCGGGTCTCGCCCCGCCACCTGAAGGAAGTGGTCATCGTGGTTCACCACAGCGACCGCCAAACCACCGACGTGAGACCACCGTCCCGCTGCGCTGCTGCAGGAAAACGTGCTGCAAAAACTCAACATGTGCTTTTTTTCAGTGTTTCACCAGAGAGTTCAGCGGTCAGACGGGGAACGTCCAGCACGGAGGAGACGGTTCTGACGGGAACTCGTCTGGCGCTCAGACGCTGCTCAGCCGGTCACAGCCCACCTCCAGTAGGAAAACCTTTAGATCGCTCACATCAGATTCATACTTTGCTTATTATGGGCTGGACTGCAGCTGCACACATGAAGGAAAGTTTAACACAGAACCTGCTCTGCATGATGAGAACAATAAAACCTTCATCATATTGACAATGTAACGCTTATGATGCTAACGCTAACGATGCTAACGCTTATGATGCTAATGCGCACGATGCTAACGCTCACAATGCTAACACTTACAATGCTAATGCTTATAATGCTAATGCTCACAATGAAAACGCTTATTATGCTAACGCTCACAATGCTAACGCTTCCGATGCTAACGCTCACAATGCTAACGCTTCCGATGCTAATGCTCACAATGCTAATGCTCACAATGCTAACACTTACAATGCTAACGCTTATTATGCTAATGCTCACGATGCTAAAACTGAGGATGTTCCACTTATTCATCAGAAGCAACAGTACAAAATAGATTTTTATCCGTGATTTAAAGGAAGTTTATTTCAGATTAGAAGATCATAAAACCTGAACCAGGAGACCTGGGAGATCAGCAGGTTGATCCAGTAGCAGCAGCAGATCTGTAATCCATTCAGCTATAAACTACCAGCAGTAGATTAAACTTATTCTGTCAGTGAAGGACTGAAGAACTGGGTGATGTAGAACTAGATGATGTAGAACTGGGTGATGTAGAACTGGGTGATGTAGAACTAGATGATGTAGAACTGGGCGGTGTAGAACTGGGTGGTGTAGATCTGGGCGGTGTCTCTGGGTTCCTGGTTTTAGTCAGATCCAGCAGCAGGTTCTGGTTCAGCTCTCCAGGCTGTTTAGAGTCCAGGATATGGAACCAATCAGAACCTTCAGCTGGAACTTTTACCTCCAATAAAAACGTTTAAATCCTGAATCGCTTCTTTGTGTCTCCGTGTGTCTCAGCGTCCTTCAGCCCGGTCTCGTCCCCGTCCCTCGGCGTCTACCGGATGCAGATGGGTCAGCTCGCCCTGGAGGTGTCGTCAGGTGACATCACCAAGGAGACCTGTGATGTCATCGTCAACTCATCCAATCAGAACTTCAACCTTCAAGCAGGTGATGGACGGTCGCTGGTTGTCTTCCTGTCCTCCCTGTTTAAAGCAGAACATCCATGTTTATTTATTTGAGGATGATTTAATGAGAATCATTTTTTATAGGTTACATGATCGAGAATCAGTGCAATGCAGAAGGCAACATGTCCCAGAAATAAGTTGCTCTGATTGCAGCTGTTTTATTGACTGAATACTGATAAAAGTGATAATTAAGGTTCATCTAGTAATAAAAACATGCCTGTTGTAACAACTGGGGGAAAAGGCTGAACGGTTTCTGTTTAGTTAATCAATTTTCCATCCATTTCAGTCACTTCAATCTGATGGCAGCAAAATGTTTCTGTTCCAGGAAAAGCGACACTCAGTTCAGCTCCAATCATTAGTTGACCTAAACTAGACACTTAATGAAAAAGGGAAAGTTTTTAACCTGATTTTCAGAATTGTTTTTAGTGAAGCATAAATATAAATGATGGGATGAATGGATGAATTATTTATGATTGTGTTATGAAAATCTAAACAAGAACAAAGACGACAGTAAAGGACACACAGCTGCTAATATATTACAGCTGATGCAAACCTTATTTATATAAAAAGAATCTATGGGTAGGAACTAGTTCCTGTTTGGAGATGGTGAAGTGGTGAACTCTGAACATGAACTGGGTGAAATGAACCCAGATCCAGTCTTTTAATGGATGAAGCTTTATGGGTCCAGTTCTGGTTTCTGGTTTCATTTCTGCTGAAGTCTCTCTGCTCCGTTATAGTTTAGATTATCTTTATTGTTCCAGCTCAGTTAAATCCTGTCTGTCAGTGATAAACAGACAACCAGCCTCTGGTTTCCCCTGCTACACCTCGGTTCTGGTTCTGGTTCTGTGAATCTGGTTCTGATGGATCTGGTTTAGTTGAGGCTGGTCGCTTTCTTTCAGCTCAACTCCAACTGAGAAAAACTGAATTTGTAAAAAATCCCATTTCAAAGAATAAAGAAAAGATCTAGAAAATGGGAAGTGATGGAAAAATGAAGTTGATTGGATAAAACCAGGATGCAACTTTTACTGACTGTTTTCTTTATTTTTCAGGAGTTTCCAAGGCGATCTTGGACAGCGCCGGCCCAACAGTGCTGATGGAGTGTGCACAGATCGGTGTGTTCCTCATTTTTATGAAATCTTTTAGTGTTTAAAAAATCAACTTTTTTAGGTTTCATTTTCCATTTCAGAGAAGTTGTATTTATTTGTGTTTATTTCATTTATTCAACATAATTTAACACAAATTATTTTTCCAAAATTAGAAGCTAGAAGGTTAAGACTTAATATTCTGAAATAAATTAAACTTCCTGAAAATAAGATAAACTTAAAATGCATTAAAAATTGCCCTCGATTTATGTATTTATTTTGGCCCAAACTGTGAAAGTAAAGAAAAAATATTTAGGACACTGATGAAAAGTGGATTTTACCTCAGCTCTTTTTTTTTTAACTTTCCTTTAACTCTATGCAAAGATGATTTGGCAAACACTCAGTTTATTTTAAGAATTTATTTTTTTAAATTAGAAGTAGCCACGTATTGGCTGTTAGAGATGTGTGTAAGATCTTTCCAAACTGTGTGAATGAACATGTTTCCTCTGCAGTGAAGTCTCCGGGCTCCATGCCTCGTTCCATGATCTTGACCTCAGGCGGTCAGCTTCCCTCCAGCAACATCATCCACATCGTCGGCCAGAACGATGCGACTAAGATCAAGGAAATTGTTCAGGGAGTCCTGAAGGTCTGTGAGGAGAACAAGTTCAGATCGGTGGCCTTTCCAGCTCTGGGAACAGGTCTGTGCTGGGAACAAAAGACAATAAAGATACACAACTGGTGATACGTATCTATATATTTAAGCATTTTTGATTCATATATTTTTTCTTCTGATTGTCTTTGGCTTTTCACCACCAGATTCTGATTATTTTACTGCCATTTTTCCATCTTAGTTGCATAAAAACTAGCTTGGCGTAAACCATAAACTGCATCAACTCTGAATGGTAGAGTCTTAGCAAACCAGAGATTTTAGCTCACAACCTGTTGTTTTGTTGAACCATAAAAACTGTAAACAAAAAAAATATTTAAAAAAGTTCCTCATCAGAGTCTTACATATATAAATTAATTCAATGTTATTCTCCCGAACAGGCCCCCAAAAATTCAGCTGAGGTTGATGTTTTAGAGTGAAATGTGACCCATTTGACCCTCTTACTGCTACATCTTACTTTTAGAAGTTAATATAACAGCACAGAGGAAACAAAATTACTAAAATCATTTGTAAACTCTGATGCTCCTGGCTGGCTCGCCACTTTTGACTCAGCATGGTTGAATTATAAGTGGTGAACTTTACCAGTAACAGAACTGCTTTGCAGCAACCAGATGTAGGATCAACTCAGAGTCATGAAGCGATTGGTAAAGACTGAAACAGATACAAAAATAAGTTTACACTCATATTGAATATTTAGGATAGAAGATAATAGTGTCATATAATATAATTACATCTAGTAATAACATTCAATAATTATGTACATTGTATTTAAATATATGAAATATTCATTTTTGGCTCTAAAATAAAGACTTTAGATTCAAACAGGATTTATTTTCTAACCTGGCTGCAGCTGTTAAGGTGTGGATATAAAGCAATAAACAATTTGAATGGATACATTCAAACTGGAGACAAGTTTTGCTCATCATACTCGTCGCTTCCTACTTTGTACGTTGTTGGGCAGACTTGTTTGAGTTTTCATCCTCATCTTCATCATTTGGTTGGTCCTCATCCTCTGCAGGTCAGGGCGGTGTCAGTCCATCGGCGGTGGCCGACGCCATGGTCGGCGCAGTGGTGGACTTTGTGAGGAAGAAGCACCCAAAGTTTGTTTGCAGCGTGAAGATCCTAATCTTTCAGACAGCCATGATCACTGAATTTCACAACAGCATGAAAAAGAGGCAAGGAGAAGAGCTGGCGGGGAAGAGCGTCTTCAGCAAAATCATAGGTATCGTCCTGCTTTGTTTTATGTGGAAACACATTTACATTATCCAGAGATCATTTATGAATAATTCTGTGAAATCTGTGAATAGAGAAGGTTTCTGTACTAGTTACATCAGGCCTCTGAGCTTACAGACTAGCATGTTGGTGTTGGATGAGTTTATGTTCCTCCATTAATCTAATTAAATATCTGAATTTCATGTGAGGCAAATCATTTAGCCAACATTAAAATGTCACTTATATCTGTCACTTGTGTTGTATATCTGGGCTTTAGATTTGTCCAGATATACAACACAAGGTGGAGGGAAGCAGCAAGATGATAAATCTATAGAAACATTTTGGATAATGTTCAAACATTTAGTACTTTGGCTGCTAAGCAGAAACAGTCAAATTTAGTGCAGTCATTTCATCTGATGAAAATATTTCTTGACCTGATTTCAGATTCAGTTACCTCACTATTTGGATTTGGAGCGGAGCAGCAAAGCACTACTGACTTTCATTTGGAGCGGCAGGAGTTTGATCCTGCCGTGTTTCAGCTGTGTGCCGACAACCAAAGGGTTCGTATGAGAATCTCTGTGTGAAGTCATTTAATCCCTCCAGCAGTTCATGACATCAGCATCTTCTGCTGTGCTGAGAACAACAAATGAGTTACTTTGCTATCAGCCGGAAGGAGACCAAAACCAACCCACTCTTGACCTTCACTGGTTTTCTGGTTTTTCTTTCCACCACAGAATCTGAGCACGGTCAAGAAGAGGATCAGTGAGCTCATTCTGAATGAGCAGGCCCAGAGAACCATCAGGGACCAGTACATTCACCAGTTCACTCAGGCTGACATGGACGAGCTGAAGGCCCTGCAGAGGAATCTGACGGTGAGCATCCGGCTGGACAGAGGACAGGAAGACCAGGAGCCCCAGATCCACCTGGAAGGTCTGACCAGAGACGTCCTGACAGCCGAGTCAGACATCAGGTCAGCAAACAGACGATATGCTCCTTAAAGCTACACACTCATTAAATGACTCTGAAGTGTTTTTTCATCTTTTTGTTCTCTTTAGGAACATCATCCGGAGAGTGGAGAGAAGTGAGAATCAGAAGAACAAAGCCTTGTTGGTGAGAAAACAGGTGGAGTGGAAGTTCCAGCACTGGGACGGATCAATGGTGTCCTTTGACATCCTCACCAACCTCCAGCTTGAAGAAGCTTTGGAGAAAAGTCAAAGTGTGAAGATCAAAATCAAAAATGAAACCTTCAACGCTGATCCAGTTATTAAACGGGCCGTTTCCACTGGTGGACGGAAGCAGATAGAGCTGATGAGAAATGACTTGAGAAGTGAGTGAATCTGTTCGTCCAACCATGATCAAAAAACTACCAGGCTGTAAAACCTTCAAACATTTCACACAAAGCTTTTCCACAAGTTAAAAACTCTTCTTCTCGTAGCTCCTGACAATCCGCTCCCTCAGCACTGGGATGACATGAAGGGCAGCATCTTGAAGCAGGTTCCCCTGACCGCAGGGTCCCAGGAGTACAACACTGTGTTGGCAGACGTTACAAAAAAAGGACTTTCCCTGAACATCATCCAGGTAAGTTCCTCTTCATGCACAGATTGACCTTTGACCTTCTGGATCTCCAGAATGCAGGCCTGAAAGCAGAACGAAAAAAGCAAAAAGCAGCTCAAACAAATCAAATGAGAAGAAAACTCAGAAAACAGAAGATCATGAGGATCATTGAACAAAACAAACACACACATAAGAGAGATGTTATGGTTTATCCCATGATTTAGTGATGATAAATTAAAACTGGATAAAACCTTTACATTTAAAGTTAGCTTTTGTTGGCACTTTACTGAACAATAGTTCAGTCTTTGAATAACTTTATAAAAAGACTTTATAAAAAGGATGAGGAAGTTATTTACAAAATTAGTAATTAATTAAAAGTCTAGGCTCATGAAAAACAGGAAATAACTCATAAAATGACAAGTAGTTATATTATGATTCAGTTACACCACCAACAGTCAGCCAAGACGCTCACACCACCTGGTCGCTGTAGGTGTTCACAGTTAATGTCATTAGTTTTATGAGACAATCTAAATGATGCCAGATGATGTCACATCTCCTTCTGACCCTAAACAGTCAATCATGAACAGACATTATGAAAACAACAAATAGTCATAGAAACACCAGACACTCAACAATTCAGGAAACCAGAAAACATTACATTTTGTCAATCTGGTCCTCTGCTCTCACCTCTCTTGGATGGACTGAATATATACTTTGACTTCAGTTTATTGTGATGATCTTCCAATGCAGCCGCAGCCATGGAAAGAGAGCAACTTTCTTTAAGAACAGGGTTTTTGTTAAAAGCATGATGTGGTGAAACTAATTTCTCCCAGAACCGAATGCAATGCATTCTGGGTTTCAGAGTTTTCTATGTGTAGTTCAGCCCCTCATGGCTGAAGGCTAACATGAACATAACACACACCTAATGAGAGATTAATACTGATTGATCTGGGATTTGATCAGAATCCTCATCATGTGGTTTAAACTGTCGGCAGATCGAGCGGATCCAAAATACGACCCTGTGGCAGAGCTACCAGCTCCTGAAGAAGCAGATGGAGGTGAAGAACAAGCACACCAACAATGAAATGCTGCTGTATCACGGCACCGGAGCCAACTCCATCGACCTCATCAACTCCAAGGGCTTCAACCGGAGCTACGCGGGAATGCATGGTAAACATCGTCACACTCGACAGGCCATCATGGAAATGGGAAAACAGAATGTTGAATAATTTTAGACTCTGATTGGTTCTGTTTGCTCTGTTGACCAAAACAAAAGTGTCAACATCGCATCCTTTCTTTAAGTTGTACCTCGGGGTGGTGAAGGTGGTGAGGCAGATGCAGTGGACACAGGTGTAGAATGAAATGATAATTTAATTATAAATAAAGCACACAATGCATGCAGCACAGGTGAGCAGCGCTAAGAGCTCAGTACTGATAGCAACCGGACTAGACAATGACAACCAGCAGAATAAACAAGACGACAGAACAGACATGAGACAAGGACCCGGCAAGGCAACGAGACATAGGTGGGTTTAAATACACAGGGAGACAATCAGGAGAAACAAAGAACAGGTGTAACCAATCAAGAGGTAGACAGGACAACACAGAGACTCAATAGACACAGAAACCAAAATAAACACACACAAATACAAAGTTTTGTATTTGTGACCCTTTTCTTTACACCAACTCTCTTGTCTCTGTTAGTATAGTTTGCTTTATTTGTGCTACCTGAGCTAGTGTAACTTCTCAAACCATCTCTGTACCCAGGTGTTATCTTTTTTGTTACCTTTCAGAGATCAATTAACATATTTTAAGCTCTAAAGATATTAACACTTCACCATCCATGGCTCATACTGCTTTATTTCCTGCAGGTGCCATGTACGGTAAAGGCTCTTACTTTGCTGTGGACCCTGCATATTCAGCCGGGAATTACGCTCAACCAGACAATAAAGGTCACAAGCGGATGTACCAGGCCCGGGTTCTGGTTGGAGACCACACCCAGGGAAGATCTAACATGATTGCA